ACAAACACACACATGTAATATAGATATCTAATTTTATTACTTGCCCGTGAAGAGATCACACGTTTAATAAACATACAGCTTTATTACACATTGTGTAATACCAAAACGCGTGCTTATGTACTCTCGGAACACGTTTCACGAACAAATATTGAAAGCTCTCAACATCCTTTGGCGTATTCAACGACATTGCGTGTGGAGTTGATAGATCACTGAGAGGAGCTTATGCACACGCGATGACCCCAGCAACCTTGTTGCTAGGCTGACGTCACATGGCATTGTTTCGCCGATGGATCTTGCAACAAAATTCTACAAATTACGTCATCGGGTATTGTGACGTTACTGAAAACTTTGAGATGCAAGGCCCGTTCCCCAAGGCTATCGTATGTAGCGCAACGACAGTCGTTAGTCTAAGTTAAAATATGTGAGATGCGATAGCCTTAGCCCTACGATAATTTTGTGAATTCACCGTTGTATGGTATGAAATTCATACGTTTCAACTTTTGACGTTTTTGAAGTATTATTCTGTTAAACTCAATTGGACTATGTCGTGGATCGTGAAGGTGTCAGCCTATTCATACTCAACAGTATAATTAAAAAACGTTATAAATGGCAAGTAATAAATAAAATACTAAATTCGCTCCCGTGTAAAACCAATTTTATGAAACTCGTGAATAGTTGTGGTATCTGAGTCGCTTTCGCTCGTCAGATACCACAACTATTCACTCGTTTCATAAAATTGGTATTACACGGGAGCTCGTTTAGTATTCTATATGTCTCCACCCTATTGACTGGCGGTCCGTCCACAGAGGGCACTATGGTTAAGAAAAACACATATTGCGTCTCACCTGATATTGTCCCTTTATCCATGAGTGGCGTGTGAGTAGCGACTTAAGTCATATGCAACTAGCATAATATATACATGTGTTTATTCTGAGTAAGAAGTTTACATCCCGAACAGGAAAAAATCCAATCAAACAACGTCTTAACATAACATCGGGAAAATTAAAGTGAAATATGTTATCTCTGTTGAGGCAACTCGGAGACACAAACTGTTTCATTCAAACTGCAAACAGCTACACATACATACATACATACATACATACATACATACATACATACATACATATGAATTTATCATTCAAAACTGGCTCCCACGGGAGATATCGCTTGGGTGAGATCAAGCGATATCAGCATTGTAGATATCACTGCAATGAAACGCATCACAATGCTTTGCAGACCATTGTGGCGGCATTGGTTACCTTGACGTCACATTCAAATGACATCACTAATGACTCTGCTACTGATGCTGTTAGCAGTACTTTTTACACTTAATACACTGCTTATATTATTACTGTCTACCAACTGAAAATGTTGGAAGAATGATGTTGATGATAAATAAAATGTCACCCTCGTGTCTTGTGATATCAAATATATCAACACTCGTTGATCTAGTAGATATCACAAGACAGTCGGGTGAGATTCTCAATATATATGAAGTTTATATGTACGTTTGTGCAAATGTGTTGAGAATGTTCGGATTCTGAAGATGCTGTATTCCACGATTAGATTTGCCATCCAGATTGTTCCCACAACTTGTAGATTGGAATGTGTCCGTATGGGTCTGTCGATACATTAGCGCTTGAAACTTCGTTGTGGTGAGCCTTCAAATCGGCCGCCACATGGCATGGAAAACCGTGTAGGATAATACAGGAGGGATTGCATACAGACAACCGAATATGTGCTAACTTTTATTTCAGCAGCAACTATGTTATAACTATTCACATTATGTAATGGCGACGCGACAAAAACTTATGATCTCACACACTCAATCTTATTACTCGATTCCGGGGTAGAATAGGTCTTCAGCAACCCATGCTTGCCGTAAAAGGTGACTATGCTTGCCGTAAAAGGCGAATAACGGGATCGGGTGATCAGGCTCGCTGACTTGGTTGATGCATGTCATGGATCCCAATTGCGTGGACCGATGCTCATGATGTCAATCACTGGATTGTCTAGTCCAGACTTGTTTATTTACAGACCGCCGTCATATAGCTGGAATATTGCTGAGTGCGGCGTTAAACAACTAACAACCAACCAAACCTAACCTATTACTCATTACAGTAATATGTGTGATTCTACAGAACTGTACATTTCAAACAAGTACATCATTCTTTGCGTTGAACATTACTGAAACCTCGCTAATGTATCTCCTATGTTTACCATCACGACTAGGAATATCATGCTGGCATATGCGTACATAAGACCATCACTACATTCCTAAACGCGAATTAGAATTCCTACACAATGTGAAACACGTCGTTGCACATCATTGCAAAGAGAACATTATGTACAACTTTCCCTTAGGAGATACGTGTATTTACCCAACCGAAACGTTAATATCCGGTCCATGTCACTCACACAAACACTGAACGCACGACATGCACAACTAACATTATTTTCAGTCATTACACCTCACCGACACAGATCAACACAAATCAACTCATTTATACACTGATTTAATAGAAACACAATGACTTCACACACGTATCCCAAGGAGGACCTTAAGCAAATGCACTATAAATGGACATGTACAGCCAGAGACGGGAGCAAAAGGACTTCAGCTGATACAATCTCGTACACCGAGTTAATAAGATATGTGACGAAGCTGTCACATGTTACAAAATATTATTATTTTCGGTGTCATTTTTCTTGAGCTTGATTCATGTTGTCAGTAAACAGGTCCAATTGAAGACTGTTGCAATACTTTCAATGGAGCATTGGAGACGATAATGCGATCTTGGCCTGAAAGGTAGCAGCTTCTCCCATAAACATACATCCATCCGGGTCCTCTGCTCCTTAGCCAAAGACACCACCAATTTAGCAGCCGGCTACTAAAATGTAAACCGGGAGTGTAATCTGAAATAGAAACAAAGACCAATAGTTTTATTATTCAAATAATCAAACGCATTTCTGTAACTGCGTTTCACTGTACTTCTACTGGATACTACTGTGATGTTTATTGCTGTTACCGGGGACAAGGGTGGCCCAGTCGTCTAAGGCGCTGTAATTCGCTGTGCAGTGTTGCGTCCCTTGGTCACGCCAGAAACGTATGATTTTGGGTTCGAATCCCGGTTCGCCCCGATTATATTTCAAGGTTTGTCAGCACCGTGCTCGTGAGTTTCGAAGTGGTAGACATCTAAGACCTGCATCACTTTGGGGTTTCCTCCTACATTATGCTGACAAGCCGCGATATAACTGGAATACTGTTAAAAGCATACCGAGATTCGAACCCACAATTTTAGGTTTCTGGCGTACCCAAGGGACAAAACTCTGCACAGCGAATCGCGGCGCCTGAGACGACTGGGCCACCCGTGCCCCCTACAATCGTGATGAACTGGACATGACACCACTTATCTTGCCATACCAGAAACGTTTGCAAGTGTCAGTAGTTCAGTCAGTGTCATTGTCTCACCACTTGCACAAAAATAAATTAAAATGGAACAAATACATTATTAGCACTTGTCAGTTGTGAAGAGTACATCGCGAAAGGACACATGTGCTGTATAAGCATCACTCTCGGTAACATGTGCCACAGTTGCTTACAATATGATCGTTTTCGAGGTGTTTCCACCCTGGGGTCCTTCTAAATAACCATATGTATTACTTCCGAACAGTTTGCTTCACCAATTAAAACACACAACTGACATCATCCTATTGTTTAAGGCGCCTTTATTTTTTCAGGAATGGACAATTAGTTGTCAATGACTCATTATTTTGAACTAACAACACAAACAGTAACTTACGCTTCGAACACACGGGATTATTACACTCGAGTGAAATTTCTAATTTTGTCGGAAAACATATTACCAGCGGGGCTCGAACCCGCATCGTATCACGTGATGTCATGTGATATGCGACGGCGACACATGACAGTGAATTGTGAAATAAACTACTGAATGGTTTCAAATATGTGTGTAAGCCTTTAAATGTGAGGTGAGGTAATATGGGGCTAAACGTCTTTCGCCTGTGTGTGCGTGCGTGCGTGCGTGCGTGCGTGCGTGCGTGCGTGCGTTCGTGCGTCTGTGTGTGTGTGTTTTAATAACACGAGTATGTGTGAAGAGTCTACTTCTCGTGGTTTTGAATCCACGAATCACGGATCACGGATGATGATGAGGAGGAGGAGGAAGAGGATGATGATGATGATGATGATGATGATGACGAGGAGGAGGAGGGTGATGATGATGATGACGAGGAGGAGGAGGATAATGATGATGATGATGATGCGGAGGAGGAGTGTATTGATGATGATGATGATGATGATGATGATGATGAGAAGGGTGATGATGATGATAACGAAGATGAGGAGGAGTGTGATGATGATGAGAAGGATGATGATGATGAGGAGGAGGAGGAAAATGATGATGAAGAGGAGGAGGAGGAGGAGGAGGAAGAGGAGGGTGATTATGATGATGATGATGATGATGATGATGGTGATGATGATATATTGCAATATAGCTTAACTGAAACAATACTAGATGTCTATAATATTACGAATAACTGGCACAAGAACAGATAAATCTAACCTAATAAATAAAATTTAATTTTCTTACCATTCCGTATTTCCGCTGTCGTTTTTTCCTCCCTGGGCGCTGGCCTCGCCACACATGTACTCAATGCAATACAACATAGAATCACAACGTAGTTGACGGGTTTCATGTTGCAAGTGTGTTACAGATCACTCTGTCCGCAACGGCGTCGGGAGTTGCAAATGGCGTCAGGCAGACGAATTCGTATATTACACATTGAGAGCCTCCAAAGCAAAGCAATTCAATTTATACAGCTGCACAAATGGCTCGATAACGTGGTTGTAGAAAAGGAACAAAGTTGGTCCTTATCTGATGTAAAGCGCATGGTATGTGTGCCTAGGCATTGACAGCCCCACCATGCAGAGCACATTCATAACTATTTGCATGAATCGTTGCTTGTCTCGACAACGCTAAGTGGTAGGGAGGTAACATTCTTGCTTACAAATCTTATTTATAGTAAGATCGTGATATAGACGTTTGTTTCATACCAGGAAGTAAAACTTGTCACGTTGACAGTATTGGGTGATACAAGAAGCATTGACAAAATTCATTGGAGGCTACGTGAAACCTCAGTTTGTATTTGCCGAGGATAGTTGCCTGAATGGAAACCCAGTACTGAACAAATGGATGTCTCTATTAAGGTACCAGCAAGCTATACACGTATGCCAAGACCATTCGAGGTTGGATTTTGTGTGTCACTTTACATATGCTACAGGTCCTATAGGAATATACAATCAATATATGTATAATCAATTTAGGGGAGCCCGGAAAAAAGGAAATATGAAGTATTTAAAATGTCATATCTGTATTCAATTACTTACTCTTAACATTTCAACTGAGACATTTACACGTGAAACACATTGTTAAAATCACAGGCAAACGTTTTTACAAATGTGTATTGTAAAGTGATCATGGTAACGTGATGTAACTGTCCACACTGAAAAGCAACCACAATGGAATTACAAAGACGTGGAAAGGAAACATGTGTACACTATCCTTGTCCTTTTTGCAGTGTTGTTTCTGAAATATAATATGTTTTCATTATGGCATGTTGTATCATGATTGCTTTTTGACAAACCCAAGTCAGAACACATGAACCTGATTGGTCTCACAGGAAAGTCCTATCTGCACTAACTGGTCATAGCATTCCCTCCCTACATTCATATTTACTTAACATTACGGACAGACCATTTTGACATTCGAGCTTATGGGGGCTCGGATTTGGTCGAAAACTATTTAGGGAGGCTTTGATTACACAGGGAACAGATAGATACACGTGGAAGCTGCAACTTTTTAATTTTCCCGCTATATAAGCTAAATTGTGGTCATGAACCTACATTATTTAAAAAAAGAGCAACATTTCAGTCATAAATACGCGCCTAAGTTAAATGTAAAGCCGTAAGTTATATTTCCATTGTCACCTTGGTATTTTGACGTCATAGTTCTCCTAAATGTTATGACGTCACGTAACTATATGTTACAACTTCATGTCTGTTATTCAGTTATGGCCTGATGAGACTCATACGTGGTACGAGTTGAAAGCGCTAGCCAGTTAAAACTGTGTTCAATCTTACTCCACTTATTCAATTATTACTTTATTGTGCCTGAGAGTTAGAACTTTACTGTGTTATATATATATATATATATATAATATAAAATATATATATATCAACGCTACAGTTGCACAATCAAAGCCTACTTTTTTTTGCGACAAAATTCCATCAGATATTTTGGTAATAAAAGCATTATCCTTTTTGCGACAAAATTCCACACCCACTACAACCCCACCAACACACCCACTCCCTCCCACACTCCCAGCCCTACCACAATATCGGTCCCTTATTCACTTTGTGCAAATTGATCTTGTTCACATCTGTCGAAACTGTACCATCACCATTCAACGACAAGGCATGCATCTGTTTGGTTCCTAAATTTTAAAAGTGCACGAGTTGTACTTAACGTTATGTAATGCGTTCCCTTTTAAAAATCGCGACAGATTAGACAGTGTTGACGAAAGCCAAACATGATGTTTCACAAGCCAATCCTTGAAGCCGAGGGGCAGAGAATCAGATGATGGGTCATGTGCTGCACAGGAATATAACTGCAACGGAGATACCGAAACAGGCACACACGAACCCGATCATGACATGAAAGCATGAAAGTTGCTGAATACTCGTGTCAAAATTTCGTTATCTGTTGTCACGGCTTGGCAACACCTGGTCTCTTCCAACACCACAGCTGACCTCCACACGTTGAGTAGTATTTAGCTTTGAAACAGTGATAAGCGACATTATGCTTCTACATTGGGTGACAGTCAGAATGTTCCGAGATGTAACCATCTTGTGGTTGTTAGGGTTGGCTTGGATACAACCGTTCAGTGTGTCCATGCACACAGAACATATCACGGTAAAAGTCGACCACGTCTTACAGGAAATTGATGATATGTTTGTTGGTGTCACCATTGACAGCAGTCAACTGAAATCCAATCTGACGACTCCAAATATCAGGTATACATCATAACATTTGTATAACTATGTGATTTGTTTGCAACGTAAATTGTTTTTTTCGGATAAGTGAAAAAAATCCTTGTCGGGAAACGAATAGATCAAATATATGTATTTTCAGAGTCAGCAGATTTTGGTAAGTTGTTTTTTTGTTTAACGCCGCACTCAGTAATATTCCAGCTGTATGACGGCGGTATGTAAATAATCGAGTCTGGACCAGACAATCCAGTGATTAATATCATGAGCATCGATCCACGCAATTGGGATTGATGACATGCTTCAACCAAGTCAGCGAACCTTACCACCCGATCCCGTTAGCCGCCTTTTACGACAAGCATAGTCAGAATGAGTTGCTGAAGACCTATTCTACCCCAGAATCTTCACCGGTCCAGAGTCAGCAGAATCCGTCAACTAATTTTTCGTGAATTCAGTTTTGTCACTGATTTATGTTATGTCTAGCTTATCCGTGACAACTTAATGATTGACAGAAATCAATTCCAATTATCACCTCTATCTTCACTGAAGACTTCGCTTACTTACAGTCTGTCGTCTCATAAGCGTGTCAGAAACATATGATTGTGGTTTCGTTTCCCAGATTCGCCAAGATATCGTTGCTGGGTTTGTTAGCATCATACCCCTGTTCGCTTATTTCACCAAAGTGGTCAACTTGCATGACCTCGGGCTTTCCTCGCACATCAAGCTGACAGGCCGTATTACCACCTGAATGCTCTTTAAAGTGGCGTTGAGCGCGACTCCTTCAACACATACTATCGCTTCAAGCGAATGGTAATGTAATGTAACGAGACGACATAAGAAATGGGGGACATGAAGCCGAATACGTCATGGGCATTATCAAGGGAGAATGCATTTTCAGCTTCTAGTTTCATATCCAAGATGTTACGGGTGGTATTATCTGCTAGATGAATAAAGTTTATTGAAGATGGTTATAGCAGTCTCATATATGAATGTAAGAATATATAAAAGAACCTTTTATAACAGGTTGCCCAAACTGGTGACTCTTGGAAAAGCCTTAGCGCCAGGGTATGTGCGAGTTGGAGGAACATCAGGGGATCGCTTGGTGTTTGACCCGAATTACCACATAGACCCTTCGCAGCAGTTTCATCTCCAAGGTGATAGCAGTATATTATACGATTTTTATATCTCCCTTGGTGTAATTGTCACCAAACGGTAAACCTAATTAAAAAGACCTGGCTAAACAATACAAAACATTCCACGTCTAAAAATAATTTATTCTTTTGGAATAACCTTTTTGGTATGATCACTCTCAGAAATTTCAGCTGCACATTGTTTCTGTTCTACTGATTGCCCAAGAAGAGTTCTTTGAGAAGTACCGGTTATATCGTACCTGTAGGGGTAAATGTTTTGGTTATTTGTTTCATGGTACAGTTATACATTTATTATTACAGTTATACATATATTATTGTGGAAAGTAAACATATTAAAACTGAACCAAAACCGACAAATTGAAACGTATTTTCAGCTAACACCTGGGATGCACTCAACGCGTTTGTTCACAATACGGGGCTGAAACTGGTGATTGGCCTCAACCTGCTGCTGCGTGATGGAACAAAGTGGAACCCATCAGATGCTAAGCAGTTGCTAAAATATTCCTCTGACAAAGGGTATCCATTTGCAGGGATTGAACTGGGAAATGGTAAGTTTGAAGGCATGTAGACGTCGCATCAACCAGACATAGACGACATATCTTTGGGCATTTTGGGTAGAAGAGGTCCCAACAATCTGTACTTGTGTTGATGAGACGATATATGGCCATGCTGGATAATTTGGATCAATGCGTGTCTTCACACCCTACCTCAATTGGATGTGGCTCATAATATCAATTATTACCTAACGGATCATAATTAGCCGAGTTAATAAATATCGTATGTGCACTAGTTCAAATATCACTTCTCGCACACCAGTGTATTGTTTCCGTCATCTAAAAGGCATTGTTGACGTCATTAGAATCTCATTGTGACGTAAGGTGGGATTAACGTCACACTAGAAATGACAACATAGCCGAAAATGGCTGACACATGTTGGTGTGATAGGACAGCAGTTGTGATCAGTGTACTTGTCTAAAGAGGAGCCCAAAAGGATAAAGAAATAGTGGGTAATAAATTTAAATTATTACACTCATATGTGTCATACTGACTTTACGAAACTCGTGTAAGAATTCATGTATTACCCTCGCTCTTGCTCGGAAATTCGTGATTCGAATTCGTGAAATCAGTATGACGCAAATGTTCGTATAATAATCTGTATTTATTAGTTTCCATAATCCAGATGTCATTATATCCAGCCCACGGTCACATAACAAACAAGACATATAAATATGGCATTATATGCTTCGTACGTTGACCGTCATTGGACTCACAAAACTATGGTGTCATACCTCTTTATACATGAATAATTATATGGTACTTTTGCGATCTGTATATGCAGTATGAGGTATATACATTACTTCAGAAAAAAATAACCCGTTTTTACATTCATTATGTTTTTCTTCATATGTGAAACATTTACCGAGCTTGATTCTCATGTTTATGTAGATATTTTTTGTTATCATACATGCCATATGTATTATCATTTTACGTATGTTTCATGAAGAACCGAACTTGTATTACCGACATCGGAATACTACTGTCAGTGACGCTCAGCTGGGGCGCGACTTCATGGAACTAAAACAAGTTCTGCAAGGAACGGTCTATAAATCCAGTCTCATCATTGGACCTGATATCGCCGATTATAACGACACGTTTATAAAAAAGTATGGATAATAAACATCGTTTACCCTATGTAGCAGGGAAAAAATAAGCTGTCTGGATTTTCTGATTGAAATTGAACGGAATCTCTGCTTACTTTGTGCTGCTGTTATTATTTCAAAATCTTAAACGAAGCATCGATTCCAGAACTAAAAAGGGG